TTTTGGTTTGTTTGTTTGTTTGAAGAATAAGTTTGCACTTCCCTCTAAAATGTCCTTTGCAGTGGACAATAAAGCTCGCACTTCCCTCTAAAATTGTGTAGGCATTTTCATTTTCTCCACGTGTTGGAGAGCACTATCTGTGTGTGGACAGGAGAGTGCAAAAATAAATAAATAAATAAATAAATAAATAATAAAAAATAAAAATAAAAAACTAATAATACCAAAAAAGGCCACATTTATTAAATTGATAATACAATGAGTAGATTCTCACGATTTGTAATTTAATGTTTTATTAAGGTAAGAATTTAGATTTGGATGATCGAATAATTGTAAAACGTAAAATGCATGGATTAGAATAAAACAAAATGTAACATATATATTATTAAACACATACTTGCACACAATATTATTTGTTTGGTTTTTTGGATATTGTCTATCGCTACAAATTATATTAGGATTCTAGATAGACTTAAATAAATCAATTAAATTATTTAACATGATATATATGTATGATTTATACTGGTGTTGACATCCGAATTAGCCCAGCCCAGGACCCGAGATTCGATTGCGGGAGAACGACAGAAGATGACCTCGCGGTTCGGACCGGGTGACAAAGCGAAGCGAGGTGCCGAGCTGAAAAAAGACGAAGAGACAACCAAGGCGACATCCCGAGCATTCTGCGAGATCGGCACCGGCTTCTATCCAAGTTAGCGTCGACCTGGGAGTGCCAAGTTGGAGCACGGACCCCTGGGGGCTAGGGGAACGGAAAGTATCAAAAGTCCGAGCTGGATATTCCTTGAGTAAGGTGACTGTACAAGAGCCGGACTCATAAGTAATATAATATTGTCACTTGGTAGCTAATGATTGAACGATGGGACAAGCCGCCCTAACCAACTATCCTAGGGCCTCTAGCCCGACAAAAGGTCTGGCAGCATTTAATGCCCCCATGTACGCATTAAATGCCTGGTAGGTCATGATTGAAGAAACCTTAAATCACATTTAATGTTCGTCAGAAAGCGCCGACCTGACTTGCAGAGATACTGTGCGACGGGACCGGTGAACAGTACCAGAATAGTAACATTTAAGGATACTATAAATAGAAGCTTTTCATTTATTTTGAGTTGTTGAATCTCAACTAACTCTGCCTTCTCTCTACTTTCTTTCTCTATAACTCGTGATAAATCTCTGTAAGAATCTCAATTGTAACAAAAGTGTCGACCTCGTCCTCAGAGGCCGACCTCGTAATTACGTAATAAAAATCTAATTAAACCGTATTTCTCCCTTATTTTTTGGTTCTTTGCTTTTATCCTATCTTATTTTAACTGTTGATCGGATCCGTTCATAATGGAACCAATATTACAATATTTTCATAATAAATACACATAGAATATATCATTTTTCGAATTAGCGCATAATGGAGCCATCACTATTTTTATAGACTTTATGTAAACATGTACATATGATGATTCCATCTACCTAGTGATAAAAGATTTTTATCTTGAAAAATTTACTACCTCCTATTTTTTTTAAATGTCATTTTAGTTTTATCAACAATTAACTAAATAAATGTCATTTTGAACCTTTTGTACATATTTTCTATTATTATCCTCATCTAGTTAATAAATACACCTACGTCTTTTCATATTCACTTTTATCTTTTACTCAAAACATTCATCTTTATACTCATTAATTAACGAGGGTTATTGTTGGCAACAAAAATATTCTTAATTACCGTACAACTTCTCAAAAGACACTTATTAAAAATAAGAGAGAGTATTAATTATAATATAATGAATTAATTAAATACTGATATGCCAATAATCCCCTTATATATTAATACAGAACGCGCTGAGCCTACGTGGCTGTTTCTGGTGCTTCGGAATCCTATGTGGCAAAATTACATGCTTCATTATTAGGCTTGTGTAAATTTTAATTTAATTCCAAACCAAAAATAATTAGGTTCGGATTACCATAAATATGTTGATTATTTATGATCATGTTACATGTATTAATTATATTTTAATATTATTCCTTATTAACTATTGAATTGTATATATATATATTAAAAGTTAATAACTTTTGTATTTTTTTATCAGTTTTACATATGTAATATATCAAATTAATCTTCTTTTGATGATCTTCGATTTAACATCCATATTGTATGTATAAAAAAAATTATATTTATCTTTATAACAATAATAAAATTATTTTTAATATTAATTAGAAAAAGAAAATTATTTATCAACTAATATATTTATATTTCAAGTAGTTATATGATATAAGTTATAAAAACTAATATAATATAACAAATGTAAGTCATAAGTAACACATATCATTCTAAAATATATAGTAATATATTTTTTTTTTTGTAAAAAAAGTAAACTAAATTTAATACAATTTTCTCATTAATTTTAAAATTTAAGAATAATTTTATAACAAGCACCCGTATAATACACGGGTGTTGTACTAGTGTTGATATGTTATACAATAATTACAGTATTTAAAATTAGAGGATAGCCATATACCATCTCCTCCAATCATTCTCCACAGTGGTTCCTTTGGACCCTTCTGCCGAGTGGACCCCACCCTTTCTCTCTCCTCGAAGACCACAAACTATCTCTCTCTCTCTTTCTCAACAAAGACCAGTGTCCCGCCGGGAGAGAAGGAAGTGTAAGAGTAGAAGAAAACAATTCCTCTGCTTCTACGAAATTGGTATTCATTTCTTTGTTTTTAATTTTAATGTAGACTTGTAAAGTTTAATGTTTTCTTACTCGACCTTAAGAATATTTTGGCTTCCCCTTTTTTTTCTGTTTGCTTTCTCTCTCTGTCTCTCTTTGTGACGCCTCCTTTACGGGCAGTTATCAGTTTCTTTCAATTTGTGTGTCTATTTTGTTTCCCCGTATGTGGGTTCTTCAAAATTTAGTTCTATTTTGTTCGTTCCGCTGTTCAATTGAGGTGGGTTTTGCTTGTTCTTTATGCTTGTTCTTCAAATTTCTCACGGGTTTAGCTTGATGGGTTCTTTTTCTAACATGGGATTAGGAGGATTTATGATGAAATTTCGAACTGTATGTGGTTTACACCGGTAAAGTTGGGATCTTGATTTTGTTTTTTTTGTTTCCTTTTCTTGTTTTAGTTTTCCGGCTTTGTCTTATGTTTGCATGCCGTGGAGTTGAAGTGTTACTAACTATTCATGTGGTTTGCGTGAATTGTTTGCTACTTTCCTGCGATTTGGGAAGTTTATGCGGTCTTTATGTGTAATGATCGGTATTATTTTCTGGGATTTTGATGAGGGTTGACCAAGAGCTAGAAAACTGTGAAGATTGTGTGTATGCTGCCTTTTTCCTTTCCCTTTACTGTTCTTTTCTTCATTTTAGTTTCATTTTCCTGTTTCCTTTTCTTTTGTTATTTCTTTTTTCGTTTTATCGGTCGGCTGAAGGTTTATGACTTGTTTTCCGGTGAAATTCCTTGCACTACTTTGAATCTGGGTTGTGCTTGAAATTCTTCCTTTGTACATTTGTAATAAAGTTCTCATTGACAAATGCTTGGTTCATTCACATTCCTTTTTTTCTTTATCTATCTCATATGCATGAGATTTACCAGTGTCTTGTGTGCTGTTAAAGCCAAAGGCCAATTCTATGTGCTTTTTGTGCCCATGCTCCTTATCTCTTTGCGCACTTATTGAGCTTCCTTTGACATTGACCTTTTCTTTTTCTTTTTTTTTTTTTTTTTTTTTTTTTTTTAATTTGAAAGAGCTATAAAGGCACGATTGAATGTAAGATTATTTAGAGAAAAAATGAGATTATAGTATCTTTTGTGATTTTTTTTTTGTTTCATTTTCAGTTTCAATGAGATAAATCTTGGTTGGACAAACAAGAATGAAACGTTTTTGTATCCAATTGGTATTAGAAAATTGCATCATCTGAAGTTGTCTAGTTAATTAGCACTTTCATGAACTTAATTAAGACGTGCGTCTCTCTTGCTTCTCTTTTTCATTGATCTGTTCGATACTTGTTTGATTTATCAAATTAAATTTCTTGCCTATAGAGATAGTTTTGTACATTACCACTCTAAAGAAACTTTCCTACTTTATAAGTACTGCCTTGTCATATTTGTCATCCCACTTAAATTTGAGAACATCTATGTCCACTCAGGACTTGCCAATTCTAGAGCCATCACGCTTCAATTCGCGTTCATTGTTTTTCTGCATGAAGTGATTTGAATGGAGCAACCTTCAGAAAATTTCATCCCTGGTTCGTGTGAAAAAGCACTTTGTAACGTCATTATTGAGTTTTTATACACATTGTTTGCTCCTTTTTATGTAACCTTCAAGAAACAAAATTATTTTATTATCTCAATTTGCCGTAATATTTCACCTTTTGTTTTCCTGTTCTGTAGGCCCTTCTAGAGTTCCTTTTATGGAGCCTCCAGATAAGGGAAAAACTGCATGGGGACTTCCTAGAAGAGTGGATATTCATCATGCACCAACTGATGCCAGCTTGTTTTCTACTTCACTGCCTATCCTTTCACATGAGAAATGTGAGCACGAGTAACCGAGCACCTGGCTGACTTATTTTACAACATATTCGAATTATTTATTATTATAGTGCATATCGGATGATCTCTTAGAGTTGACTTATCATTTTTACAGTTAATTTTAATGATAGCGGTCAAAGTCAAAGCAGTCAGTTATTTGACGATAACTTTCCAAGTCTTAGCAAACTACAATTAGCAGATGAATTAAAAGACGCTGAAGATATCGAACCAAACGCGATAGGAAGCTCTCTACCGGGTGATGAAAACGAACTCTTGGCTGGTCTCATGGACGATTTTGATTTCAGTGGCTTGCCAACTCAGCTCGAGGATTTGGATGATGATTTTTTCGGGAGTGGAGGGGGTCTCGAAATCGAACCCGAGAGCCGCGAGAATCTGCTCAATGATTTGTCGAGTTTAAGTATTGGCGACAGTTTTAGTGGTGGCAGCATTTCTCATTTTGGCTTTATGAATGGTGTGGGGCCAGTAAGCGGCGAACATCCATATGGGGAGCACCCTTCGAGGACACTGTTTGTTCGTAATATCAACAGTAACGTGGAGGACTCTGAACTTAGGTCTCTTTTCGAGGTACTTATGATGATGATGTCAAACTATTTTCAGCTAAGGTTTATTATTTACCGTTATTATCATTCTTGGAATGATTTTTGCTTGTATCTCTCATTTTGTTTTTCTTGATATTTATTTGATGGAAATGTTTTTATGAATTTTTCTCTTTTGTGCACGGATGGTGATTTTCAGTTTCATGATGTACCAAATGTATTAAACAATCTCATATTTGGATTATGTCATGCATCGATGGTTTCTGTATAAACAAGTGATATTACAGCTCCTCTCAGAAAATTCTGCATGTGACCCTAATAGTTGTTCTAGATTTACATACACTTCTTGATTCGTTATGGCGTTTTGCCTTTTTTTGTATGAACTTCAAAACAATGACTCGACTAGACACAAAAGAAGGGATGGGTTCCCTTTGGGATGATATTCTCTTACGTTTCTTTTTTTCCTTCTTGATAAGAACTCTAGATATGACAAGACTCTTCTAGTAGTTTCAACTTCGTTTATGTATCAAAGATTCTTATGTAGCTGTGATATTTCTCATATCTGCACTTGAGTTCTCATTTTAATCGAATTATCTAACCAGAAGTTTGATGATCATGCCCTATATCATAGTTTCATCGCTCATTTATTTTAAAGCTCATTCAGCCTTTACATATTTATTTTTTCAAACATATCTTAAATCATTAATCCTAACTCTAAATTTTTTATCTACTTATTTCTAATAGCAATACGGAGATATCAGGACCCTTTACACTGCATGTAAGCACAGGGGATTTGTGATGATATCTTACTATGACATCCGTGCTGCTCGAACTGCCATGCGGGCATTGCAAAATAAGCCCTTGAGACGAAGGAAGCTCGATATTCATTTCTCTATTCCGAAGGTTTAAACCCTTATAACTTTTCCATTTTGATCACACTTCATAATGAACGACCTCTTGAAACAACTGCCTCTGCAATGCAGGACAATCCATCCGAAAAGGATATTAATCAAGGAACTTTAGTGGTCTTCAATTTGGATGCTTCAGTATCAAATGACGATCTTCGCCAAATATTTGGAACTTATGGAGAAATTAAGGAGGTGAAGATTTACTTGTCATGTCAAAGATCTGTATGTTCTATGTATTTTTATTATTTCTGTTGGTAATTGTCCCTTTATTGGTATTGTGTTGTTAAATATAGATAAGGGAAACACCACATAAACGACACCATAAGTTTATCGAGTTTTATGATGTTAGAGCTGCAGAGGCAGCTCTCAAGGCTTTAAATAGAAGCGATATAGCTGGGAAGCGCATAAAGCTTGAACCTAGCCGGCCAGGCGGGGCCCGCCGGAGGTAAACTCTGCTTCTTGTTCGTTTATACAGATTTCATCTTGCTCAAGTTATCTCAGGTTTTGCATACTATCTAATTCTAAATGTCTTGGTTCCTCTGCAAAATTATTCACTTGAAAACTGCAAATTCTTTTTTTTTTCATCAAATGAATATTTTAATATTTTTTTTGGTCTTATGGCTTCACGTTTAGTTTCAACCTTTGGCACGGGATTCTGTTTCGAATGAACTTGACGACCAATAACGTAGTAATAGTCAATGTGTATTTTATTCCAATGCACAGCTTGATGCTGCAATTGAGTCAGGAGCAAGATCCCGATGAAGCACGAACTCTACGCCTTCAAGTTGGTTCCCCCATTGGCAATTCCCCTCCTGGCATACTAATTGATGGTCTGCTATTTTACCTAAACTCTGGTTTAACTATGTCCATAACAATAAAAAATCTCATGTCATATCAACACTAAAAAAAACACAACCTATTTCCAGGTAGCTGGCATAATTTTGGCAGTCCAGTCGAGCAGAACAACTCCTTGCACGCTTACGGTCAGACGCCTAATTTAGGAGAACTCAGCCCCGTAAGAAGCAATAATGTGACAGGTTTGGCCTCTATTCTTCCTTCTCACATATCGAGTCCAGTTAAAATTGCTCCCATTGGCAAAGATCCAACTAGGGCAGGCCACCACACGATCCACATGCAAAATATGGCAAATAGAAATCACGGGCTATCCCACTTTTCTGTTCCTAATACCACTTTGAGCTCGAGCCCCGGACCCGTCTCGTCGTTTAGCGATTCGAAGCCGTCGAGCATTGGAACACTTTCCGGTCCTCAGTTTCTGTGGGGCAGCCCCAGTCCCTCTGTTCCTTCAGACCAAACTAATTCGTTTAAGGGACCACCTTTTACATCTAGGAGGACTAGATTAATCGGCTTTCCTTACACTACTAGTCAGCAGCACAGACCGTTTCTTGGTTCTCATCATCACGTGGGGTCCGCCCCTCCATCCGGTGTTCAGATCGAAAGACATTTCGGTTTTTTTCCCGAGTCGCCCGAAACAACATCTTACTTGAACCAGTCCATGACGATTGGAGTGTCGAATTTCGGTCACAGCAATGGGAAGAATAATGGTTCAACTAACTTGGGAGTTGCTTTTGCTGGGAGCTTCGGTGAAAGCGGTTCTCCCGGTTCTCGAATGATGTCAATTTCGAGAAATGGGCCTTTGTATTTTGGGAATGGCTCGTTCGGGAGCATGGGAGATGGCTTACTCGAACGTGGTCGAAGTAGAAGGACCGATGGTGGAGTTCATCAGATGGATAACAGGAAGCATTATCAGCTTGATTTGGAGAAGATTGCGAATGGGGAAGATATTAGGACTACTTTGATGATTAAAAACATCCCGAACAAGTAAGAACAGTAAATGTTTTCTTTGCATTTCTTTTCCTTTTTTTTTTTTTGGGTACTGTTAGTGGTTGTTTGTACTTAGAACTACCGGTTGCTTTGTCTTTTACCTTCTTTCCTTTTTGTCTGAAGGTACACTTCTAAGATGCTGCTTTTAGCTATTGATGAAACACACAAGGGAACTTATGATTTTCTCTATTTACCCATAGACTTTAAGGTAAGTTACGTGTTTTATTAAATGAACTTTCTGCACTCATTCTTGAGTTTGAATCTGAAGCGTTCTTATTTCTATCTTTTTTTCCAGAATAAATGCAATGTTGGGTATGCCTTCATCAACATGGTGTCACCTGCTCACATCATCACATTTTATGAGGTACGTTTCATTTAACTTATTTTGTTCAGGGATAGTAATGTTGCAAATCTCATGTCTTTTATAACCCTCGTTTTAACTTCAATTTTTCTTGTCTGAAGGCATTTAATGGGAAGAAGTGGGAAAAGTTTAATAGTGAGAAAGTTGCTTCTTTGGCATATGCAAGAATCCAGGGAAAGACTGCTCTTGTGTCCCACTTTCAGAATTCGAGTTTAATGAATGAGGACAAGCGATGCCGACCGATTGTGTTCCAATCAGAGGGCCAAGGGACTGGTGATCTGGTATATCAAGGCTATTAATTTTCTCCGTAATATAATTTTTTCCCCCTCACTACACACGTTCTTTATATAAAACTCTTGGAAGTTTGCTATCATTTTTACTGTGCAATGTGCATGTATAGATCCAAATCTATGATAACTTGTATAAATTGTATTTTTTCCTTTTTTTCTTTTTTTGGCTAAATTGCATTTTTTGATCTAAAGCCATAGCAATTTTGTTCTCAAGATTACATTTTGCCTTTTTGTCATGTGATTTGATATTTTGCTGCAATTTCAGTCCTTTGAGGATTGAAATTGCAACAAATTCCCAGACTTATAGATTTTTTATTAGCAATTTAAATCCCTATAGTTTAAAATTTTGTTGCAATTTCAGTCCTGTAGTTTGTAATTTTGTTTCAATATCAGTAAAATTGTTATGGCGTTACAGCAGGACTAAAAATGCATTTTTGCCTTTTTTGTTCTTCTTCTCGCTCGTTATCCATATGACCGCTCGTTATCCATATGACTGTATATATTGCATTTTTTTTTTTTTTTCATTATAGCTATTATATGCCGTAATAGATGTTATGGCAACTGATATGAGCTCATTTTCGAACAAACCAGGAGCCTTTCCCGTCTGGAAATCTGAACATATTTATCCGCCAGCCAGATGGATCCTACACAGGAGATTCTCTCGACAGCCCAACCGGTGAACCAGACGAGAAGCTATATGGCAATTGTTTGTGCTGAGATATATGTATATATTTTGGTGTACATTCTATATAATAATAATAGGGAATCTGGATTTCCTGTATCGTTATTCATCTACTTGGCAGTGTCTAACTTTTTGTGATGGCCATTCGTGTTCGTGGAAGAAGTAATTGGTAACCCGGTGGATGCTGTTTTGTCTGTGTTTGTGACTCGTAAAATCGGCTGATTAATCAACAGTTGAACAACAAAGCAAGGCGAAGAGCAAACATTTATGTTCTCTTCTCTTTCGAATTTTCATTTTGTTGGGGCTTCGTTCGTGTCGCGAACTTCAATACCAGCAAGTGTATAGAAGTTTTTAGAGCTGGGCTGAAGAAGGGAAATGTTGTATAGATGGCTTATGCCTTGTAAGTGTATAGTTGGTCCTTGAATCTCCCTTTCATTGTAAGATCTTAAATCCTGGATTTTATGACATCAATGCTGAATCCTACGATCTTTTTTCTTTTGTCCTCCCGGATTGTTCAATTTGAGGCGTATTTGTTTGGAATTTTTAACGACTTTAAGACTCCAGAAATTTTTTAAGACTTTTAAAAGTCTCGGGTATTCATTTGAGATTTTAAAAAGTGTTACAAAATAATGAGATATTTAACTTTGTCTGAGAGTAGGATTTTTGGGACTTTTAAAGATATCCTCGGATTTCAAAAGAAAAACCATGTGCAAAATTCAATACAAATCTCCCTTCAGACTTTAGTTTTCATTCTAAATTAGAAAATCTTAAAATGTCTCAAATTTTAAAATTTTAAAATATCAATCAAAATTTCAAACAAAATACAAAGTGTTGCACTTTACGTATGTAATTTTTTTCTTCTTTTTTTTCCTATGTAAGAAGTGGTCATGGACAGTAGCCATTTTGGTCTTATAATCATTTCAATTTTTAATTTATCTCATTTTTTTTTTCTGATGGAGACGAGATCGCCCTCGCATTCCTCGATAAATATGATCGGATAACGTTGCTTATTTAATTACTTTATTGCCTTTTCCCTTATTATTATTAGATTTCCTTATTTATGTTATTTAGAATTAGAAAAATAAATATGTGGTTTTATCTTGTTTAGTAAGTTAGATTTATGGGGAGTCTACGATATATATATATATTTGTATTCTCTTCAGTAGCAGAGTAGCAGACGATGAATAATTTTGAGATTAATCTGATATTGTGAGTTCTTTCACGAGAGAGTATCTCGTATCTTTCCCGTTCTTATTGACGTTCTACATCAGTTGGTATCAGCAGACCAACAACGATCAACGATGCCGCCGAAGAGAAACACCGTAATCGACAACGCCATTGACAAACGTTTCCAACGGGTGGATGAACGTTTTGATGGAATTGACGATAAATTCACGGATATATCATCGGGGATCGACGACTTGCGTGATGCGATGCGAACTTTAATGGTGGAGGTGCATACGAACCGCGACGCAGGCGACTGGGGTGCACGCGGAGGGCTTCGCAGTGGTCGTGGAGGACGTGGCTATGGCGGAGCGCTCCGCCGGCGGTCACCACCACCACCGCCCGGCGATGACGGTTCTGAGGAGACCCTAACCGTCGACAACCCGTTCGCTGATGGGCACCATCAGCGCGGTGGGGCATACGACTTCAACGCGCAGGGAGGACACGACGACAGAGGGTTTCTGGACGGCGGCTTCGGGCGCCGTGGGTCGGGTTTCTTTCGGGGCGGAGCAGGCTCTGACGGCGGCGAGTACTTGCGTCGCAATGGGCTGGGCTTCGAGGAGGGCGAACACGAACGCCGCGATGGGCGGTTGGCGGAGGACGACCAGCGTCGTCGTGACCGGCGGCGCGACGATGGGTTCGACGAGGACAACCCACGACATCGCGAGTGGGGTCCGGATGACGACGGCCTGGGATTCCATGGCGGCGGACGGCAGTGCCGCGGTGGGTGGTTTG